CGGCCCATTTGTTAGTATCATGTCTTCTATGTTTGTTCGCTTTTTCACCTAGAGCGATCAGTCTGTGTGTGTGTGCTTTCTAAATTGTTCACAGGATGAAGGCTCAGTTTAATGACACTAAAGGACTTATTTTCAATCTGTCCTTTGGTTATTGTTCCTGTTTATATGTGGTAATGACACCTCTTACAAAGGTCCTGAGATTTAGGTCACGTAACTCGGTGTTCCAACACAGAAACAAGTGATCAGGTCTGCTTTATATGAAGCAATACATTATACAAAATTACTTGGGCGAAAACGGTGAGCAGTACTAAAAATAACCAAGTAAGCTGTTGTAAATGTGCAACATTTTACAAACCAGGCTCTTCTGTCTATACATACACAGCCTAATATTTTTCCCTCTGTGCTGTAGAGATTTGTCATTGGCATGAGCAAAACACATTATGCATCTGCTATTGACATTAGTTTTAATGGTGATAACAAAACTGTAGACCATCCCCAGCTGTAACTAAGCAATCTCTTACCTAGATTGAATTCATTTTAAGGGTAGAACTATATCATATCTCAGGAATACACACTGTTTATCGTAATTAGCAGAAATGACGGCTGAAGCTATAAAAGCAAGACCTGGAATAAGATTCGGTGGATTTTTAACTCATTCACAAGTTCTCCTAAAATGTGGAATTAAAAGCAGGGAAAAGCCTCAAAGAACATAAAAGTGATTACTGAAATTCATTTGATGAAAGTTATATTGGTACTAATTTCAGATGTGCACCTGCTCACACGGTGAGGCATTCATTGCAGTTTGCTGCTCATTAAATTGATTAAGAACTTGTATGAATTCTCTCTAAATAAAATAATGGTGATAAATTGTCCAGTTGGACTTGTTGATGATGCTCCGATCTAACCGCAGCTTCCACTGAAAGCTCCACTGCAAGTTGGAGGAGAGGGGGCGGAAAGTGGCGGGGCTCAAGTGTAGGGTTTTCATTGACTGATTGGTTATTTAAGATGTACCCGAGCTATTTATGTAGTTGCCATGGCATCCTGTTCACGGTGCAAGAAGATGACGTGTGAACTGACGCAAGCACATTCCACTAATTTAACAGGCACTGAAATAACTGCTCGACGTTTTCTGCTCTAGCAGCCCAACACGTGTTTGAAAGCTCATGCATTTCTCTCGTAAGCCTTCGTCCACAGCAGTGATGGAAGATCTAAGCGGTGGGCTCTGGAACCCATTAGCAAGGCAGTGTGGGAAGAAGCGGTGCACGATGGGAGAATGCCGTGTCTGTGTGAGAGTGTGTGGGGCTGTAGTCATAGCAACCCCTGTATCTTGTTATCTCCTGACAAGTCCGTCTTTCAGTCGGTGTGTTTTTTTTTTTTTTGTTTTTTTTTTGTTTTGTTTTTTTAACAAAGTGAGCAAACGCCTCTCACACAAACAAAAGTGTTTTCATATTTGTGTCGATTGCGAATTTTTCTTCCCATCTGGAGCAAAGTGACCTTTTTTTTTTTTTTTTTTTTTTTTTTGGTTAGTCCAGATGCTGACACACTTTCCGCATCATGTCTGAGGGAGACTAAGCCAATTATGGTCAAATGGCCTCCAGTGGTGGTTGTTTCAGAGTAATGACCCATGACATTTTCACATAAATGGTGTTCCTTTCTGTGCTTTATCATTGATCAGTAATAAACGGTAAGAGTCAAGCTCATACTCAGTCCAGAAGTTTTTTTTTTTTTTTTTTTTTTCTTCTCAAGGAAAAAAAAAAGATGCACAGGAAGTTGAGCCTTTCGAGGTTTTGGCTTTGTTCTTATCAGCTAACCAGTGATAATGAACGTGGGTGAACAAATTATGATCAAGGAACAAGAAAAGCTGCATAGTGTTGCCCACATGCTGCACTTGACTCATGATCATTGTAATGTAAAGCAGGAGAGACACAAAGCATGTCCAAGGATCTGGCAAAACGCCTCATTTGGAGATGTTGCAACTATGTCACAAACAGGATCCAAGAAACACCTAAATCATCACAGTTGGGTGTTTAGATAGTAATACAGGTGGGGGGACAAACAAAAAAACAACTGCTTCACAGTAAGGTACGAAAAGCTTGTGGAGGTGATAATTGTCCAAGAAAAGAAAATGCTCTTGCGGGAGCTCAACAGTCTGGACTGTGGCAAGAGTATAAGTTGGTGCCAGGTGTAGGTGTTAGTAGCCAAGACCTGGGAGTCTAATTTAAGCTGTTTTATTTGTGAGCAGAATCCGATCAGGGCAGTGGACCTTCAAATCAGTTTTATTTATCTAGCCCCACTTCAATCATTTTATATATTGTAATGTAACAAATGTTTCAAAAATACAAAGACGAGACAGAAGAAAGGAAAAAGTTTGACCATCTTTAAAAAATTTACCCAAGGGTAAAACCAGTGAGAGACTGGGACTAGGTGGAGGGCCACACTGATGAGCTTTCTTTAGAAGCTGCTTGGTACCGCCCTCCACAACAGTCCCAGTTGTGGCCCCTTGGGTAGATTAGTTGGCCACCCCTGCCCTTTAGGATGTTTCAGTAATTGTAGCCGGTTTGTTGTCTTGGGCTAAAAGATTAGATGCTCCATATGCTTCATTTTTCCAAGTTTTTTTTTTTTGTCATTGGACACAATCCTGCTTCATTGCTGCCACCCAGGCCTCACATTTTTAACCATTGTCACATCTTAAGAGACGAGGTAGCCATTCTGGCCTAAACTCTGACCATTATTCTTAAAGCTTCCTTATGTGGAAATTCTCCTGCTTTTTACTTTAGTAGCTATAATTCAGAATTACTGTGTCACGAATGTCATGAACATTCACACTGTATTATGAACAAAATTGGCCATTACTAAAGAACACATGTATATTCATGATGGCAAAGAGGGCCATTGTCTGTATTGAACACGTGGTCTGACTGTCAGAATCAGTCCGTTGGTTTTTATTAGGAGAAAGCTAAGCTGCCTTTTTCTAAAAGAAAAAGATAACTGTTGCAATGTTTTCTTCTAAAATAGCTTTAACAAGAAGGAAGTGGGGCCAAACTGTTAACTTTATTTATTTTTTTCCCTCTTTCAGATTCCACCTTTTTCCCCGGTCGCTGTGCTGATATCTTCGTCCGTGGAAAGAACGTCGGGCGTCTCGGAGTGCTTCATCCAGATGTGATCAATCGCTTCGAGCTGACAATGCCCTGCTCCGCCCTGGAGATGGACATCGAACCCTTCCTGTGATTTTACCTTCCTAAACCTAAAACCATATATAGCTGTTTGTTTGGTGTATGTTACGGAGGTGTGCTGCCGATGATTGTTTTAGTTGGTTAATCAGGAGACAATACTGTGCGGAACTGTGTGGAAACATTGTTTTATATAAGAGTAACAGGGCTGTTTTTACTGAAGTCAGAATAATTAAAAATTAACAACACTCCACTGTGTTTGTAGCATGTGTTTGTGCGTCTGTGTGTGGGCTTGCGCATGCATGCTTGATCTTAATTTAGCCTATTTGTGCCTTGGGGTTAGTGCATGGTAATTAAACTGAGTGACTCATTACCTGTTGCTCTGTTGCCTTGGTTCTTCCAGTGGCCACACCGCTGAAACTCCCCTCACACGCGACGTTCCCATGAAAGAAGTCGTCAAGCACAGGTTCCCCACACGAGATGAATCCCAGCAGAGCGCCCACTCCCGCCTGACTTCCACAAAAACTGTGTTTGGTGACGTGAGCACACAAGTGGGCCTCGAAGCTCTCAGTGATTTTCTGGCTGACAAAAGCTACATCGAGGGCTTTGTGGCATCCCAAGCTGACATGATCGTGTTTGACGCCATCCCCTCTCCTCCCTCACCGACGCTCTGCCACCTCTGGCGCTGGTACAACCACATAAACTCTTTCCAGACAGACAGAGCTCGTCTTCCATCAGCCAAGAGTCGGTATGTCCTCCCAGCTACTCCCCCGGCCACGCCAAATGATGCCAGTGACGAGGAAGACATCGACCTTTTTGGGTCGGACGATGAGGCAGAGAGCGCAGAAGTGGCCAGAATCAAGGAGCAGCGTCTTGCCGAGTACGCCGCCAAGAAATCCAAGAAGCCAGCTCTCATTGCCAAGTCCTCCATCCTGCTTGACGTCAAGCCCTGGGACGACGAGACGGACATGTCCAAGCTGGAGGAGTGCGTCCGCAGCGTCAGTATGGACGGGCTGCTGTGGGGGCAGTCCAAACTGGTGCCAGTGGGTTACGGCATCAAGAAGCTCCAGATAGGATGTGTGGTGGAGGACGATAAAGTGGGCACTGATATGTTGGAGGAAGCCATCACCACCTTCGAGGAATATGTTCAGTCTGTGGATGTGGCTGCTTTCAATAAGATCTGAATCACTGAGATAGAACAGTGCCATCTGAGATTTTGTGGACTTGGTGTAAGCTGGGCGATAAATGCAATGTTCAGTTAATATTCCAGCATCACTGTATTAAAGAGGCTAATGCTCAGGTGCTTCATTTCTTTATCCTTTGATACAAGTCCAAAAGGGTTTTGCTTTCAGACACAATTAAAGCCATTCAAACTTGTGACTTGAGTGCTCTGAATCTTTGTTTTTTCCACATGTCATCTGCACCTGTTTATACATTACTAACAAATGAAAGAAATTTGTGAAGCCAGTGGACTCCTGTAAGAAAACAAGTCATGCAGACATCAATCTGCACTGTACATGAAGTCTGACAGGTGCTCTCACATTCTTTTAAACTCTACTGTAGCAAAGGGAGCTTAACGGCTTCATTCCTGCACTAGACAAAGTAACCAGGTGTAACAGATTGCATGCTCTAACCTGCTGAGAGTACAATGGTGGGTTCGGCTGAAATTAACTTGTCAGGATTCAGTTATACGGGATTTGGTATGAGCAAATCGGGTTTAAGGTGTGGTTCTCCCAATTGCAAAAGTAACAAGAAACTTGGACCTGTGTGCTCTGAAATGGAAACGACGTGTTCAGCATGTGAAACCAAGCTTTTAAACACGAAATTTTATTTAAGCAAAATGTTTTATTTTCTTTCAACTCAGTTACAGGTCAGTCACAAGTACACAGTTGTGAATCATTCCCTCTGAGAACTTTTTCTGAAAATCTTGCAATGTATTACAAAAAAAATGATCATTTTAAGAACATTGAGATAAATATGAGGTTCGGTTTTGTTCAGATCATATTGATCAGTCAGGTCATAACAGTCCCAAAAAAAGGAAAATTCTGTTGGCCAGTATAGAATTAACCAGCCCAACAGATGTATATGTGGCAAACTTAGAAGGCACTTCAATCTCTTTCCTCCTCCTGGCATTGTTGTCACTTTTTGGTACTTTGTACCATGAATACAACATGTGCAGGCTCACCGTTTTCACTATCTGCCGAGTTGCCAGCAGTATTACAGCCCCCACCAAGAAGCGGCCAGTGCCTAACGCTAGTGCGCTCGCTGTCAGCGTGGGCAAAGGTACAGGCAACATGCCCTCAGGCTCAAACGTCTGCCCCAGCTGCTGATTCACCCAGTACCCCGCTGAGGCCCCGGCACACGTTCCCAGAATGGTGGTCGTATCCCCCCGTGTGGTGCTGTAATGGTCCAGCTCTGGGTATATGTAGCAGAGGAAGTAGAACAGTACCAGCACTACAATGGGGGAGATGGGGCTGTTGAGCTGGAAGTGGTCCATTGTTTCCCAGTAGGGATAGGTGCCCCCTAACAGCACGGCAGAGATCAAGATCCCACAGATAACATCCTGGAGGCAGAAAAAGAAGAATCACTTATAAACCAAATTCCTAAAAAAAAAAAAAGGGATGCTGCAATGCATCTGCATATGTCATCTACCCGCATTTTATTCACAAAAGACCATAGGAAACATATCAAATGTTTGAACTGTGACATTTCACTATTTCAAGAAAATACTAGCTCATGTTGAATTGGGGATAAAATGAAACAGCTTGCAACTAATTAGGTTACTTGGAAACTGCTCAGTAACGTGATTGGTTATAAGAAGAGCGGCTTAGAGAGACAGAGTTTCACCAATCTACAGAAAACTACAAATTTCAGAATACTGTTCATCAGACTTTAAATATCTCATCATTTACAGTCATAAAATCATCAAAAGATTCTGGAGAAATCTCTGTGTGCAAGGGACAAGGTGGAAAATCAATATTGGCTGCCTGTTTTCATCAGGCATGCATCATCCTCACACAGCACTGCACTAAAAACAGTCAAGATTCTGTCATAGAAATCAATGCATGCGCTCTGGAATACAACAAGTCTTCTCTGGATGAAAACATTATTTAAAATAGATTGAGGCAAAGAGGAAAACTGCTCTGTGGTCAGAGAAATTGAAATGTGATATTCTTTTTTGGAAAACAAAGGACCATCTGGCTCGTTATCAGCACTCAGTTAAAAAGCTCTGATTGGATGGATGTGCATTACTGCCTACAGAAGTGGCAGCTTGCACGTCTGGAAAGGCACCATCAGTCTTCAAAGGTAAATGTAGGTTTTAGAGCAGCGCATCCTCCCATCCAGACAATGTTTTTTTCAGAAAGGGTCTTGCATATTTCAGCAAGACAATGATAAATCATATGCTGCATCTATTATAACAGCATGGCTTTGTTTTAGAGTGTGTGTGCATAATTGACTTGCCTGTAACATTTGGCATCAATCCATATGAAATGAGAAATGCAACCCAGGACTGTTGCACTATGCGAACACAGTCCCTGCCCTAACTTGAGATGTCTTGGTGCCATTAAATTCAAAGTGAACCACTATTTTTCACATTTTCCTCAGTTTAAACATTTGAAATGCTTTTTGCGTTCTATTGTGAAGGTAAAATAAGTTCATGAGGTCTGTAAATCATTGCATGTTTGTATTTACATTTTACACAGTGTTCCACCAAATTTTTTTTAAAGTTTTGGTGTTGTACAACGAATGCATCAGGAATAAAACAGAAAGGTACAGGTATTTTTTATCTTGACAAAACTCAGATAAGAAGACTTATCACCTTTGTGTCTACTCTGAAAATCTGACCCATTGTTAGCGCTCAGTTAGCTCTCCTGATGTGTTTCAAACAGGAACACACCAAGACTTAACAATGTACCACTACAGGCCGGTTTTGGTCATTTTGGATAAAAATCTGTTTATGTTGATTTACTGTAGCCATTCACGTGCACTACAGTGATACAATATAACAATATTTACTTTGAATTTATGCAGAAAAATGACAGGAAAATCCAAACTTTAGTGAACACAGACTTTTACCAACACTAAAATCAACATGTCTGACAGCTTTAAAGGAGTCCAGGTCTCAGTCTGAGGAAAGCTCCTGTATAACAACTCGTCTGTCTGAGGTGGAGAAAAATACACACTGTAATACACCAGTTCCTCCTGATCTGACCTGGTAATTAATAATAGACTTTAATATCAAATGAAGGCACCTTTTGTCCTCTCATGTGTGTTAATATTTGTTGAATCCTGTGATTTGTTCTGCTATGGGCTATGAGTCTCATTCATAACCTCTCATTCAAGACTTTATGTACACTTCTTACAACCTAAGCAAGTAAACCTCTGTTTGTGTCCTCTGCGATGTTTCAGAGGACAGAATTGTGGAGACAGGTCTGATTCAGAGTAAATCTGACTGTGTGCACACCGATGCTTTTTCATTCAGGAATGTCTGTAATGAGATGTGTTTGGGCAGAAAGTGTGTGCTATACCCTGCAAAGAGATGCAAAGGAATTATTAAAGATTTATGGATTGCAGGCATAGGTTAGATCATATAAAAACTGGCCAGGCGTATATATTATTTATGATTTACAAGGTGCATTTATGAGGAGGTATGGTGTTGTAACAGTGGACGATGGGTAGTTTAACCTTCTTGTACTCCACTGTAAATAAAGATCAAATTTTACTATGGTGCCGTGCACAAATCTGAATAGTGTGGCCTCTGTGTGGCTGACCAGCGTGACATACGCCACTCGAAACCATAAAAGACGTCAACTACCATTCAGTCTCAGCGTGACTGGATATTAGGGTCAGATGTTTTGGGAATTTTCTCGCAAGCAAGAAAGCAGATGAGCATATTTCCCGTAATCCCACATATTAAATGGCTATGGTCTTAATAAACGTGATAAAAAAATAACTGCATGAGTCATAAGTGCTGATGCTTCCCATTTAAACGAAGGCAGCATGAAGTGCCTGCTGAATTTTGAGTCTTGGATCAAAGCCTCAGCCAGACAACTTAACCAGACACAATGAATAATGAATCCCATGTTGAGCTTTAATGTTTTATACTGTACTATGTGTGCATGTGTGTGTGTGCGAGTTGAGAGAATAGCTCACCAAAACTGAGTGCATGCCAGTGTAGAGGCGGCTCAGAGACACCAAGGTCGCCAGTGTCACTGCGATGGTCAGGCCCACCCCGAACTGGAACTGAGGCACAAAAATACCCACGTTATCAGCAGACATCACGGCGACCGTCGAGCAAAAAGCACACACACATGATTACATGATAAAAGATTAAATCCATCAGCAGGCTCAAGCATGTCTGCAATTCTTCCTTGTGCAGTCATCTTTCAAGATAAAAACCCAAGAATTGTTTTTATTTGGTGCTTTTTTTCTTTCCACTTTGCCTTCAAATCATCCATTCATCAATGCTCCTCATTTGGGCGTTTAGCTCGTCTCTGCCAGTTATATAGCCTGCCTAGTTGATGTACTGCCTGTCGCTGCTCCTTTATTCCTCTACAGCAGGGATGTCAAACTCATTTTACATTCTGGGCCACATACAGCTCACTTTAATCTTCAGTGGGCTGGATGGGCAAAGCTTCCCTGCCTGTCAATGAAAAGAAGTTTTTGCTGCACAATTAATTCTTTAGATATTATAATACAAGAAAAAGAAGTGCAATTCCAACAGCACTTCTCACTTTTTACACACGATAACGAAATCCTGGTGTAGAAAATGAAGGCCTCTCAGCACGACTGTTTGAGCTTAAAATTACTTTGGTGTAGTGTAAATGGGCATAGAGGAGGTCTTTATCAGTAGAAAAAGCTGTGGCACTTATGAGAGTACAGTTTAAAGTCCAAAATCTCCATCCTTCTTTAAAGCCGTCCAGTGGGCCGAATTGGAGTCTTTGCCAGGCCGATTCTGACCCCCAGGCCTTATGTTTGACAACCTTGCTCTACTGTCTCTCCATCTTTTACCTATAGTGGCAGGTTTTGTTTCCTTCGTCCATTTCAATAACAGTGAGAAGAGAGACCTCCCTCCACTCCTGAGCCCCCTCTTATCCTGCCCTCTGCCTTTTTTTCCTGTGTCTGTTCCTGTCCTCTGCAGCTGGAAGCCTATTCACTGCTAGTTCATGAAGAGAGATTTTTATGAATGGCCACAAAGGATGTCAGAGAAAGGAGGGGGGAAAGAGTCACTCTGTGATTGACTGTCGTGACCTCTGACCTGCTTGGGGAGAAGTTGCCCCAAGGCCTTGTGGCTATTCAGTGGCCTCTGCAACAGCCTGCTACTCATCTATAGTGATACATGCTCCTTTCTTTCAGGGCATTCCTTGAGGAATTTCGGGACACGTTTAAGGGCTCTACTGTACATGCACGTCCCTGGGGTGCTGATCTGATTTCTCTGACCCTGAGAACAGCCACTGCAACAAAGTGTGACACAGAGCTAGCCTAAACGATCCAACCGCAAATCAGTCTGACAGCTCCGGAGACTGTAAACTACTAAACTGAAGGGTTTAGCATTCATTCAGCTCCTCAGTCAAACACACTGCTTGACTAAGACAGTCTATGATTGAGCCCCTGATTGCTTTATTGACTCGACAGAGGAGTGGGAAAGATAAAGAGAGGAAGAGCCAGGAGGAGGAGGGAGGTGGAGACGTGGACTGACAGTCATTGACTCAGCGGAGTCCATCAGAAGACCAAACAGCAGCTCGACGGGTGTGGCTGATGGTGACTGATGGTGACTGCTGGCCCCGCCCTTCCCCACCCATTGTCCAACAGCTCAGGCACGACTCTGTGATGGACAGCTGGGCCACTCCCTTCATCCCAAACCGCCATCCTCAGGATCCCAGTGACGACACTTGGATCTGAGAGAAAACGATCATTTAGCTGGGATAACTCAACACCCAATCTTACTGCGGTCCATAAAATCCAATGGCAGTTTAATAGCACATCTAATTAGAAACCTAGTGTCTGAATTACAGTTCAACATCCACTTAGCCAACACTTCCCAGCTCTGATAGCAGCTGAATTACATCATCTGTGGTAGGCAATGGTAATGAACCATGGCTATTCAGTTTCAGTAATATTATTTCAGTAGCAAATCAAGAAACAGTTTGTAGAACCACATGGAAAATGTCTGATTGATGTTATATCCTGATCATCTTATTGTGTTAGCCCTGGGATGCCCTGTCAGGGGCGTAGCCTGTGACCCCAAGCTTGATAAACATTTAAGAAAAGAGATAAATGTTAGAGCCTGAAGTTATTTAAGTTGATATTTGTCAGGCTTTTCAGCATTGCAGAGTAAGTGCAGAATATCATAGTAAAATGCTGTTTCATTTTCCTCTTTCTCATAAGTCCACATGTACAAGGCCTTGAATAATCAGGCCACACAGACCTCATAGTCCTGTATCACTCCATTAGAACACTTCGCGCTTAGACTGCAGGTTTATTTGTGGTGCCCAGGATATTTAAAAGTAGAACGGGAGGCAAAGCCTTCAGCTTTTCGGCTCCACTTCTGTGGAACCAGCTCCCAGTTTGCATTCTAGAGACAGACAAGCTCTTTACTTTTAAGATTCGGCTTAAAGATGTCCTTTTTAATAAAGCATATATTTAGAGCTGGATCAGGTGACCCTGAATCCTCCCTTAATTATACTGCAATACGCCTAGGTTGCTGGGGGCTTACCACGATCCACTGAGTGTTTCTTCTTCACTCACCTTTTAACCCTTTCTACATGTTTACACATCACTCGGTATCAATTGCCACATCATTCTTAATCTTTAGTTATTATTAATCTCTGGCTCTCTACCACATCATATGTTTTATCCTGTCTCCCTCCCCTCAATCCCACCTGTCACAGATGGCTGCCCCTCCCATCGTTCGGCTGGAAGTTTCTTCCCATTAAAAGAGAGTTTTTTTTTTCTTTCCACTGTCGCCAAATGCTTGCTTAATCCTCTGATTGTTTGGGTCTTATCTGTATCTTATAATATAAAGCACTTGAGGCAACTGTTGTTATAATTTGTTTGGTATATAAATAAAATTGAATTGAACTGAACTAGAAGAAATATTTAGAAAAAGTCCACATCATGTCAGCCATGAAGCTGATTATGATTTGTTTATATTCCTAATGTTAAGCCACACTGAACTTAATGCTGACATTATTATGCTAACAGTTTGAATATTCGGAGTTTATAAATATGTCCACTAGTCACCTGACATTCTTACAGTGGAATTTCTTTTTAAAAAAATGGCAATTTAACGTCAATTTTTACTGATCCTAAGTGACCTATCTACAGCTCTCACTGAAGCCAAATTATAAAAACAGGCAAATTCTGAAATTTGACTTTACGGCTCAATGTTGTGTGGAACAGGTTCACCATCATATTGGTAGATACGCCTTGGTTAAATAAAACCAGTGATGGAAATATCGATGTTTAAGTTACAGTTTATCACAGACATACACTGTAGTGGCTAAAGTCTTATCTCTGAATTCAGGTGTTTAGTCTCACTGACACATTTGTGAAAAAAAAATGGGTCATTCTAAATAGCTCACTGAATTCAAGCATGAACTGTAATAGGATACCATCATTAAAACCAGTCAGTTTGTGAAATTTCTGCTCTCCTAGATATTCCTCAATCAACTGCTAGCAGGATAACTGCAACATCAGAGCTCCAAACCTCCTCTGCTGTTAATACCAGCACAAAAACTGTGTGCTGGGAGCTTCATGGCATGGATATCTATGACCGAGCAGCTCCTGTAGGTGTAATGTGTAGTAGTTCAATCCTTTTGTCTAAATAGTGTAATTTTAGGTAGCAAATTTTATGGCAATCCATCCAGCAGATTTTGATATATTCCCCTTAAAGCTGCAGTGTCATGGAAACCCAACAAATTGTATGTGATGTACTTCAGTTTTATACAGACAGACACTGTAATGAAGTTCCAGATGGACATGGCTGAAGTGTAATGTGCACTGACTGTAGTGACTTTGGGGTCTGACAAGTGAAGCTAAACTGGCTTTCTTGCAAGGAGGGTACAACTGGTGTGGTTGCAAAATGAAGACCTGTTGTATACAAGTCTATGTAAAAACACGGCTTAATTGCAGGTTTGAACACTTATTGAACAGAACATGACATTATTTTGTAATTATGGTCCCCATAGTGCTCATAGTGTGATAACGAGGGTGAAATTTACTGGTTGATAGCTTTTTCCTTACTGTTGCTGTGACTCATTTTGGATTTTGGATGTAAGCCAGCTTCATTTACTGGTGGAAATTCTGGGATGATGTTGAAAACTCCGGAAAGTGAATCTGAGCCAGTTTGGAACAGATATCATTAAGCTTGCTTGCTGTGTTTCATGTTTCTCCTAAATGCTCACCTGTATTCTGGAGGTGGCGCTTAGTAAAAGTGTGAAGGAGATGGCAGTTGCTGCCATAGCGTGGGTGGAGGGCAGTCCGTATTCTGCGTCTACACGTGTCTCCAGCTTGACAACAGGGGGAGAGTATGGGCGAGGCAGCTTCAGGAGGTCCTTCATCACCTGGCCGACGTACATCACTAACTGCCAACGATAGAAAAGCACAGCTTTAGTAGTGCATTATGGTACCGTGTTGTTAGCTTCAAATGGTATATATCTGCCATCCCTTCCACTATGGCGTATTATTACAATAAAGCAATAAGAAATGCTGCAGAAGTGTAGTAAAGTATGCTGGCCACAAAAGCAGAAATTAGATGATAAAATAATGCAAAGAGGAAGCAAGGATCCCACTTTAAAGCTAATCACACAATCTCATAAATAAGTAATCATCATCCCCACTCAAAAAAGAAAAACTGCCCAAGAGCAGAGACTCACACTTGTATAAAGTGCAGATGCTGCAGTAGTATGGTAACAAAATCTACTACAAGGAACAGACGACTGAAGAAAGTAGAGTTTGCTGATGCAGCGTCTCCAGCTGGTATAGTGAGACAGAGGGGTTCTGACACAATGACACAGTCGGCGCAAGGTGTGCACGCTAGCTGTACCGATGTGTGTATCCTGCCAAATGTGCTGCCTATTCTTTTTCATGAGATCCCCAGTGGCCCTCGATGGGGCAGCCTGCTCCAGCTCCGGGTTTATTTAAAGCTCTGCCTTGTATATTTAATGAATGGCTGTCTTGGCAAGAAGCAGGGAGGCTAGTTCATGGAGAGAGAGATAGGATACTAATGTGTGTGTTTAAGGGAGAGAATAGAGAGGTTGTTATTACCGTCTCCACTGACACTGTAATCAGGAAACGCTTGTTACCATGGCAAATGATATAAGAGCACATTTTCTGACCCGCTGTTAGTGCAGCAACTATTTAGAGAAACGGATGCAGATAGACATTGAGAAAAATGATAGGACCAATTGTGTGAGGACACTGAACATCCGTCTCAAACAATATAAATTAATATGCTGGATGAGGCTGAAGTCAGAGCTCGGACTGATAAAACCTCTGTTGCTGTGTTCATAGGTGGGATAGAAAGAGTCTTTCCTACAGAGATAGCCCATCATTGTCTGGTTCATCATTGCTACACAGACTAGAATTAACACATGCACACTTTAACCGAGAGTTAGATGAGACGATTGATACTGTCATTTCTGTCTTTTAGGCACAAATCTTAACCAGTAGATTTAATTGAGGTTTAAGACTGGAAGAAATAATTACTCAGACTTTAAAAACATACCTAAAAGCACAAATGAGCTTGTGAATATGTTTAAAAATCGCCAATTCATTTAATGCAATGTTATGAAACAAAAATTGCTAATTTGTGTGAGGATAACTATACATGTAAAGCTAGTGTGGTTTGAGTAACACGTTCAGCTAAGTAAAAGATCCCCAGGTTGATCTTTGGAGGAGACACAAATCCCTCTGGGTTGAATCATGGAGGACATTTGGTGCCCAAATCCAATAAAATCAAATATGTGAGCTGCCCGCTGTTGTGACCCTTTGTGCCATTCCTAGACTGTATGTATATATATATATATATATAATAATAATAATAATAATAATAATGGATACTTTATTGATCCCCATGGGGAAATTACTTGTTTTTCTCTGCATTTGACCCATTCACTCAGTGAAGCAGTGGGCAGCCCACTAAGCAGGCGCCCGGGGAGCAGTGTGTAGGGACGGTACCTTGCTCAGGGGTACCTCAGGGTAACCGTTAAGTGGATTCGAACCGCCGACCTTCCGATCATGGGGTGACCACTTTACCTACTGAGCTATCCTTCACACCGTAGTATGGACAATAACTTTACATTATATGATCACTTCTACCTGGTATGTATATTATACATTATTATAATATGTCATATATGACCTATTGTATAATTTCTAAATACATTGGGAAGATGGCCCCAACTGACCGTAGTGCTCAGTGAATACCTCAGGCAGCAGAAACCCAAGAAAGAGGAGGGAGACAGAGGAACCATCATGGAAGGACAGGCCCCTGCACGGTATGTACCACCGGCAGATAGAGGAGGTGGCTGATATCCAGAAATCCTACCAGTGGCTGGACAAAGCTGGACTGAAAGACAGCACAGAGGCACTAATCATGGCAGCACAAGAACAAGCTCTGAGCACAAGATCCATAGAGGCTGGGGTCTATCACACCAGGCAAGACCCCAGGTGCAGGCTGTGTAAAGATGCCCCAGAGACAATCCAGCACATAACAGCAGGGTGCAAGATGCTAGCAGGCAAGGCATACATGGAACGCCATAACCAAGTGGCCGGCATAGTGTACAGGAACATCTGTGCCGAGTATAACCTGGAAGTCCCGAGGTCAAAATGGGAGATGCCCCCAAGGGTGGTGGAGAATGACCGAGCTAAGATCCTGTGGGACTTCCAGATACAGACGGACAAAATGGTGGTGGCTAACCAACCGGACATAGTGGTGGTAGACAAACAGAAGAAGACGGCCGTAGTGATCGATGTAGCGGTTCCAATGACAGCAATATCAGGAAGAAGGAACACGAGAAGCTGGAGAAATACCAAGGGCTCAGAGAAGAGCTCGAGAGGATGTGGAGGGTGAAGGTAACGGTGGTCCCCGTGGTAATCGGAGCACTAGGTGCGGTGACTCCCAAGCTAGGCGAGTGGCTCCAGCAGATCCCGGGAACAACATCGGAGATCTCTGTCCAGAAGAGCGCAGTCCTGGGAACAGCTAAGATACTGCGCAGGACCCTCAAGCTCCCAGGCCTCTGGTAGAGGACCCGAGCTTGAAGGATAAACCCGCCCAGCAGGGGTTTATATTCCGTGCTAGTGATTCATAGAATAATGAGTATTATATATATATATATATTATATATAATATATATAATATATATAATATATATTATATATTTTTTTTTTTATCATAACGTGTTAAGTTTGACTTAGCGAAAAGTAGTGAATAAAGAACAAACCTATTAGGCCTCTGTTGCACAGGCCTAGAGGCCAGTTTGAGACCCCTCTGGGAACATCCAGTCTTATTCTGCAACCAGTTGCGCAGTGGTTGCTGGGGGCTGTTGCTAGGTAAAATTGGTTGCAAAGATAGTGCTGGTCACTAAAACATTCTAGCAGTCACCCATAGTCAATGTGTCTGCAAACACTCACTAACTAACTTTGAGTGGCAGTGAAACTTGGGAAAGGCAAATGGAAACCAGAAATGAAGAAATTCCGCCTTTAAGGTATACACAGTGTACTTAACTGCCAAACCAACCAGTTCCTAGAAATTGGCACTGGGGAATTAGGTAAGTGTGTACTGACATCACAAATCAGGTGATTAATAGAGACCTTTTTTCCTAGACTTTTATATAAACCCCTTAAAGGCCAGAAGAAAGATTTAAGGCACTTCTGCAATGGAGAATTGCATTGGATATGGACAGTATCTCTCACTGTGAGCTCTGGTGGTAAACCAGAGCTCCCAAACCTCTTTGTTTTCCTCATCCAAAACTACACTGTCCCTTCTCTCCCTATCCCTACCCTCTGGTCATGACTGAATATGAAGTGTGTTCTTGCAATATTTGCGTCTACACTGACTGTACCCACACAAACTGAGACAGACAGAATAATTGGCTCCAGGAGGTGAACAATAAACTGAGGTCAGACAATGGCAAACCCGACCCCTTTCGTACGTCACAACTGTGTATTCAAGCAATAATCCATACTAGTGTGCACCCCCACCGTCTGCCTTCACACAATGGATCTGCATACCAGTTCAAGTGCTTGCATGATATGATACCCCTCCACCACGCTCTGAACTCACCATCCACACAAACATCACATTCAGCTGCCTCCAGTGAAGCTGTCACCCCAGTGTCTCATCGTAACGGTCACATCAAACGGGTTGACCCAGGGACAGTCTGGCCACATTAGGGGAAGAGTTAAAGATAGCTCACACATGCTCTGAGTGATCCTGTGAATAAGTATATTGATCGAGGCCAGAGCAGCTTTGGACTTTGATCTGTCAACATGTAGATGAGACTCTGTGCAAGCGTGCGTGCATATGTATGTGTCGGTGTGAATACTTGTTTAGACATCTTTGTGAGGACAGAAAATTGGCATGTCACTAGACTTGTGGGGACCAACAGTCACTTATGGGGACAAAATGCCCATCCCCACAAGTTTAAAGGTATTTTTGAGGCTCAAAATGTGGTTTAGTGTTATTGTTACAATTAGGCTATGGTTAGATTTAGCCTAAGGGTTTGGGTTAGGCATTCATTTTTGATTGTTAGGGTTAGTGTAAGCGGCTAGGAGAAGCATTATGCCAATTAAAGCTGCAAGCAGCGTGATGAGGGCCCTCGCACCCCCGGCGCGTCGAGCCACGGCCAACACCTAAAACCAGCATGTCCGATCTGATGTGACATTGATGGATTTCATGCATTTAACCACCAGCTAACATTTCATCTTATTCAACCAGGATTATAGTCGTCCCACTAGGTGGCAGTGTAACCATTATGTACAAATGGCATAACAAACATATCCGAGCTCGAGTCTAATCATGCCTATGACCTTTGGGAGAGATTGGACATTGTGTTTTCGAGTGACAGCAGATTACTGCTTTTTGGCGAGTGATTGAAACTCCACATGCTGCCATGACCACCCCGTTTCCTTGAACGTAAAAAGCTTTGCAATTTAACATCACAAAGGTCTTTAGATTCCACACACAGGAAATTGCATCAATCTGATGAAATCTCTTGGAGGAGTTCGTCAAAGAATGGTGCCTGAAAAGAGGGGAAAATGTCGCCAAAATTACACATTCATTTTAAAATGGCTGACTTCCTGTTGGATTTGGGATTTTGCTCCAAGAGACTTTTTTGTACATCTTGATCTCTCCTATAAGCTTCCCAGATTTCAGACTCATACATAAAACACAGAGCAGGGGCTGATGATTTTGAAAGTTTGTAGGGGGCGCTGTGGAGCCATTTTGCGCTATTCAAGGAAGGTGATCACATAACAACAAAGCCTTCGTCCCATTGGAGGTGTGGGCCAAATTTCAAGACTTTTTAAACTTTTCAAGCCCCTCAAACGTCACTTCATTGTTCACGTAGATGAACCACGTTGTCACCAGGGTGCGCCATTCAGTTTAAAGTCACAATTTTCCCACCGAAGCATCATGAGCAACTGATGGTGATATTCACCGCTTTTGAGGTGGCCACGATGAACCTGTGAAAATCAGTACGACAAAATGAAAGACATGACATTTCCTGTTGCCACTAGGTGGCGCTCTGCGTATTACTGACAATGGGCACGACAATCTGTTCAGGGCGGGACTGACATCATGCCTGTAAAGTCTGGTACTGATCAGACTGGATTTTATTGAGTTATACTAATTTGTTTCTTCATGGCGTGACATCAAAGTTCGCCATGCCGCTGGGGTCACACCCTTTCACGAAAAGTCACAGTTTTCACTGTAACCCAAGACCAACTCCTTAAGGCTTTCCTGGAGAAATTTGAGGCTGCAGATGTCACCCATCACTATACTGTACCCCAAAGTGTAAAAAATGACATTTCCTGTTGCCACTAGATGGCGCTGTCCCTGATGTCAAATATGGCAGTTGAAATATGTTCAGGGCTGGAGCCTTATCATATGTGTGCTCTTTGGTCCAGATCGGACAATGTATGACAGAATGAGAGGCAATAAGATTTTTCATGGCGCCACGGCCTCACCGTATCACGAAAACTCAAAAGCTCTGCAATTTAACATGGCCCAGGTGTGTAGTTTACACTGACCAAAGATGAAGCTTATACGACCAAATCCCAAGGAGGAGTTCGAAAAAGTTCGAGGCATGGAAATAGGAAAATTAGAGCCAAAATGTCACCTTCAGTTCCAAATTGCGGACTTCCTGTTGGGTTTGCGTCAATGGGCCCACAGACTTTTTTGTTCGTCTTGGCATGATACACATGTGTGCCAGATTTTATACATGTAGCTGAAACGATGTGGTCGTAGGGCTGCATTTAACAAGGCATAGGTGGCGCTCTAGAGCCATTTCCCAGTGCTCATATGTAAAACCATTAAAATACAAAATTTTTCACCAGACCTGGCATGTGTGCAAAATTTCATGAGTTTTTGACCATGTTTAGGCCCTCAAAAAGGCCCTTGTTTTGCCTGAATAATAATAAGAAGAAACGGAGCAGATACAATAGGGCCTTCACACTCTTGGTGCTCAGGCCCTAATTAGATGTCCTCACTAAGATATGAAAATGTGTGTGTGTGTGTGTGTGTGTGGAGGAGGTCCCACAGGCTACTGTTTATAAGTCAAAAACACAAGAATGTTAGTTCATGGTGACATGCTAAGCGGGCTTAGCTTAGCTTAGCTCAAAACTGGGTGGCTAGCTCATATATTTTTCTAATATATGACCTCCAAGGTGCTGTAAAATACATGTGTCATCAGAATTATTGTGATAAATCATGGTAGGACCCTAACCCTGTTAATGAATGCACACAACAAAGTGAAGTATCAGTGAATATAACCACCGATATCACAGCTTCAAGAGGTTCTATCATGGATTTCCTTTAAACTGAGCTTATACACCAACATAATGTTCAGATAACATGCAGAATCATTAAAACACTGTGCAGTGCCTTTTTCCTATAATAATAACTTTTTGGATAATTTTATGTTTGAATTTACGTTATTATTTTGTCTTTTTAAAGTGTACCTATCATTCTTTATTTTATTTTCTCTCATAGTGGCTGCCCCTATTAAACATGACCAAAGTTTCAAAGGCCAGTGTATGTACAAATAATCTCTCTGATCCAGCTCTGACTGCTCGGAGTCTGACAGTTTTTATATAGTGTTGGCTCTACATGATGTCATATAAAATGGTCATCACAAACAAAGTCCCCACCCACCTATTACTTAGATCACTTTGCTCCTCTAGTAGAGTCCAGGAAAAAATAAACCTTTGTGTTCAGATTGAACATCACATGATTCCTTTTACAATAAAGCCTTGAAACGTTTTTTTTATTTTCCTGACTTCATGACTCCTTAACTACAAATAATAGGGGCTGGGTTTGTACAATGGGCATTCTGGGAGTCACGTTCCTCCATAATATGGCTGTGAAGCCAATATGCCAGGTCCCCACAGCATGGTTTCTGCAATTTACTGCAATAGCTTTAATAAGGAAGTGGAAACTGTTATTCTTCTGGGCACCGTTTTAAGCAGTTCTTTTAACTTTTATGATTTAGAGTACGATCCTCTGGCGCTCCTTTGTAAGTTTCTATAGAATTGTCTTTGCTGAGCGGGCCTTTACTTTTCCATTTGAGAATAATCTTATTTGTATCAAATGGTTTGTTCTAACATTTCGTTAGAAGTGGCTTTTTCTGGGAATAAAATTATTTTTTATCACTATGTAGGAACATCATATTAGAACACCTCATGTGGTTAAAAAAACAAAAACCATGCAATTGTGCGGATGTAAACCTGAAATTTTTGATATTCTAAACAGCACATGTGATTTGCATAACACTATGTTACAATGACACCTGTGTAATTCATGACCATATGGTGAGGCACAGTAACTGTTTTCTAAGTCAACCAAAGTCATTGTTTAAGTAAAGCCAAGAGCGAGCAGTGAAGGACACAAGGGTGCATGTGGCATCCGTGCTGCCAGCGCGAAGATTTGCTGTTTATGTGCGCGACAGAAGAGAGGACGGGGGGTGCAAAGCCCTGCATTAACCTCAGATAACTCCACCAACACAATGGCGGGGCGCTTTGAGAAGTTAGAGGTGCGGGTTGACACGCCCCGAGGGCTGACAGACCAAATGGTAGGTCCAGAGAGAGAGAACGCTCAAATGCACCGACGAGGCCAATAAAACACTCTGCTGGTAGAGCAGGGGGAGGAGAGCACACAGCAACGCTGGTAATGTCTAACTAGAGGGAGGGCAATGAGTGTGTTTAGCAAGTGAGATGGGGACTGCGAGTGTGTGTGTAGCTGTTTATGCGTGTGTTTGAAAGTTCACACAGGGGCATGGTGCAGCCAGGATTCCAGAAGAATGATATCTATTCCACCCTGCCCCCAAAAAACACGGAGTTCAGATACAGGGCATCCACCCAGCATTCGGGGCAGGGACACAAAGGGCATGAAAACACACTGCCCATCACACACACTGCAAAGAGTGAGGCCGTCTGTGTGTGTCTACATCTAGACTCCTTCTGGGGTTTGACATGTTTTCAGGGTCATCATGCGCTCGATTCTGCCAGAATACACATCTGAAGGGGAGCTCCTAACAGTACTTTCCCACTGATGTGTCCTCATGTGTGGCCTTTCACCATGTCAGGGGTCCTGGTCAGGCTGGCCCCTGTGCCCCCCACCCCAAGGCCTGGGGATATATGCACATGATGGTGTCAGAGACAGGTCACTGGAGGGGGGGGGCAAGGATGAAAGGAGGTTGAAAGGTGAAGAGAGAAGAAGGCAGAGAAGTAGAGAGAAGAGATGTGGCATTGTGAAGGAAAAAGACATCAGACTGGAGGCTTGTGCACGCTAATGCAGTCTGACTGACATATACACACACACTCACACACAAAGACACACTCTCTCCAGCTGCAACTTACGGCCCACATGTTGAGAAGGCGGCGGCACAGGAAAGGGTCCACGCTCCAATGTATGTTGGGCAGACAGGTGATGTAGAAGATTTCATGCCCGAGGCTGGCTGACAGCAGGAAGAGGAAGTGCAACGGCCAGTTCCTCACCTCGTAACGAGGCCTACCGCAGTCCTGCACATGAAATGCAAACATCATGGAACAAGCTGCCTACAGATAATGCCTGGCTGTCTGTCAGATCAGATCAGACCAGACACACCTTTTGTTTGCGGCATATCGCTTTTCTTTTAAAGCTTCCTCATTTAAAAAGCAGGCAGTTTGAAGCCTATAGGATTCCTTTACTCAAGCATGACTATCATGAAACCAGTGGATTCACAGAGACACCTAAATTGCAGTTTTAATCTCATGGGTCCAACATCTCCCATAATGCAACTGCTTAGACTCTCCTATTAAACCTCACATTGCCTAGTAAATCCCCACTGCTTTCAAACCTGGCACTTCCACTTTATGTTATAAACATTTCCAAGACACACTTACAACATCACTGTGGCATAATGGGGGGAAATTAACCTGGCAAAGGTCCTCTAGAGTCACAGAGGACATCACAGCCTTTTCTGTCGGTATATAAGTCTCATAGAAAGAGATATACTGCAGTTACTGAGGTTTAGCCTTTAAAAACATCCATATCGCTTTGTGCTGATCCGTTTATCAAGAAATCTTTCATTCTTAAGTCAGAATGTAACCTGACTACATCTTCACTCAGTGACGTTACTTAGAAAAACAACAAGGCCACTGTTACATGTGAGTGTGTGACCCAACTTGTTATAGTGCACATGGCTATCTGCTGGCTGCCAGAAGCAGCCAGTCAAACGGGAAAAGCCAGACAGCTTGTTTTGCATAATCTCAAATAAATCTAATGAACCCGAAAGTGAATTCTCAGAGATTCGACACCAACTGTGCTTTATCCTACTGAATTTAATGCCACACAGCAGGACTGAAATAAATAAATAAATAAAAATGAACACTTTCACCCCGGTGCTTTGATTGAACTAAAGGAGAAACCTTACACGTGAAGCGTATCCATTCTCCTTGTATTTATAGTTGGAATTGCGGTCCTGGTGGTCCAATCTGTCCATCACCAGCTGCCCACGTGGTCTCTCGGGCTTGAGATGCGCGCTTTCGACGAGGAAGAGTCCGCATCGCCGCTGGAACCGGGCCACGAGCTCTGAATCGTGGAGGTAAGTCAGGAGCTCCATGCAGCGCGACAGGTGAACCGACATACACACTCACACAAAGACGCACACACACACAGACACACACACACAAACTACGGAAAGGAAGTAGATGATGAGGATGTTCCGGACAGGAGGTGTAGTGGAAAGTGATATGAGCCCAAGCAGGGGCGCATCCCAGGGGGCAGGTTGTAGAAGGGCGGACAGGTGCGGCTCGCCGTGCGTCACAGGTGTGCGAAGCGAGGCGGGGCTAACTACAAAAGGGGGCTGACCCGGTAGTCTTTAGTTGCTCACCAGTAGCTAAAAGTTAGTGCGACCTTTATACCGGGCTGGTTCAGGTGTTATCATCAAGTATTTATAGCAAGCACGAGGAAGATTTATGGCATGTCCATGATAGCAGGGCTTTTGATGGGGCTGTATCTTCATGTCGCTGACAACCGCACAACAGAAGTTCAGTGGTCGAAGGCTGCGCTCATAGAAGGTTTTAAGTTAAATCAGCATGTCACGGGGATTATTACTGAGCTATTACTAAGGAGTGTCTGAAGAGTCAAACTGTGTGGCTTTTTGCAGTAAACTGCCATAACTGTGAGCATTTGTCTCAAAACACAAGTTTCCCTTTTCCACTAATTGGTTTATCAGATTCAGTGATGTGCTTCTCCCACAGGCTCAGACCACACGCCTGCTCTAAGAGGTTTAACAGGCTTTTCTGAAACTTTATGTTTTCTTGTAATGACTTGTCTTTTCTCCCGAGCTTAAAATACAGGCAGGATTTACCCCATCAGACTTCAGTCTATAGTATTCAATTTATTTCTAATTTTTCTGGTCTTTTAAGCTTAAGATTTATTTTATGATTTCAATGCTTTGTTTATTTGTGTCATGTGTCAGGTCCCTAAGTGGAAACCTTTGCCAGGGTCACATTTCTCCATCATATTCTGCAGGCTATAGGTATTTTCTTAATAATAACTATTTGTTTTTCTATCAATAATTAATTGATCATTCATTTAAAATAATAATAAACATTATTCCACGAAGCCCAAGTGCACATGTTCAATTCACCCTCAAAAGATGTTTATTACTTAAATCAACATTTTATGGTCATGAGGTGGTTATCCACAAAATTAATCTGCCTGTGATTTTTCACCACAGCAGAGACTTAACTGTACAGTACAGCAGTGAGCTTTGATTGGGAACAGCTCTGATGTGGATACAGGTCAGTTGTGACCATTCTGTAGACATTATCATGTTCACTTTTATATGTGCAAAATCTAAACTCATTGGTGCTCATTTTCTCATATCATTGAATAACCAAACAGTAAACTAACTTACCCGTGGTTACTTGGGACCTAATACAAAAATCGGTTATATCATCCTGTTAGAGTGCAAAGTAAATTGTGATTACAAACAGAATGCAGTGATTCAGACATAATTTAACCTCTTCAGATGGAAAGGGTACAATGAAAACTGACATGTTCAAATATTTGCCCATTTTAAATATGATAACACAGTGCTTATTACTGTGTTGCATCACCTCTTCTTTGTGCTTATGCTGACATCACTGATATTGCAGGTTTTTGGGAACTCAGGAGGTCAGTTGCTGTAGTTTTGGAATAAAACTTTTTCCATCTTGCTCAATCATATAATAGGAGGTTGGCTTCTTAACAGTCCGAGGGTGTTCTTTGCTGTGTTTTTCACTGCTTATTGTTCTGACTCTTTTCAGCTGATCTGGGCAGCAGTTAATCCACACTATTCGTCTATGGAACCATCCTGCTATAATGGAAGGTACCGGCTTTCTGAAATACGCAACACCTTCTTTGAAAAAGACGACTCTGCGTGGCAAAACCTGTGTATGACATTCAGCATTCATGGTGCCCTCACACATTCTGCAAATGCACCATGGATGCTTCTGGGCAGTTGGTCCCTTGCACAAATAAACCAGAGTTTGGGCCACTGTGGACCAGGTTTACTAAACAGGGTGAAATAGCGTGTGAGTGCTTATAAGTGTGGTTAGTTCTACAGGTGTTTACAAAAGTTCCACAGTTTTCTAAACACAGGTGCAGTCAGTTCATTTCAATATTAAATGCAAAAATAAGACACACTTAGGCCAATTAGCAGTAAATTGCGTGCTGCAAATGTTAATGAGTCAGTTTGGCCTTCCTGTATTTTGCGGTGTGAGAGAGGAACTACTAGAAATATATATGTATCAGGGTAGGTCATAAAAAATCTCTGAGTTTTCACCTTTTATGCCTGATTTAGACTTTTGTGGGAAATCTGCACTGTAACGACATAACTGGAAACTCTAACTCTACAAAGTGACTTTCTACTTAACCTGAAGTGCAGCTCCCTAGAAATGTAACTACAAGTCAGGCTGACACAGCCCGCAGCGACTTGATGGAATGGAAGGTTTCGACATCAGGTGAAAAGGGGTGTAGGATGCATTTGATTGCATTAGTATTTGCCTGCCCTACAGCAACTACAACTCTGTATGAATTAATGCGTTCTTTCCTTTCATGTTTGAGGGACTGCATAAGATTCTAGAGAGGGGGCGTCACTGGCCTGCGAGCTGCATGTTGAGAACCCTGGCCTTAGGTCAAACCAAATGTGTGTCTCAGATGATTCCAATTCTGCTCATTCTTTAAAATACCTCTTCAAAAGGTTCTCATTTGAGAGCTCATGTTCATACTTTAGAGTTTAATTTGATAACCCAACGGCTAATTAGATTTGCCCTAAATGTTCAGATGTTATGCTTCAGCTTTAGTCCCTCACTTCCTCTGGGGCAGGTATGAAGTTCGAAATGACTATGACCATGATTGTTGTCTGTCCTCCATCTACAGCCTACACCAGCTATGTATTTTTCAGACTACAGGTGTAAATGATTCTGAAGAGCCTCCTTGGTTCACGTGAAACTTGTTGATGCTCACTGTCACACACCGCGTTCTGTCTGCCAGAACACCGTGTGAGTTTTGATGTTTCGTGTTACAGGAAACAGAGAATTGACGCCCCCAGTTGACCAAATAAGCGCATCCTATTGTGAGCCAGGGTCTACGTAATTCCCAGCCAGCATGGCTGTCATCATAGGCAGCCTGCTGCACTACCACAGCGGGAACAGCAACAGCAGCTCTCTAACAGGACTCTAAGACGCAGAGTCCCCTCTCTCTCTCGCTCTCTCTCTCTCTCTCTCTCTCTCTGTTTTGTGGGATTCTCGGACTCTCTGGATGGATGAGAGCCCCCCCACCTTCCCACCGGAGTCACCACCATTACATCATCTATTCCCACACAGGCGAACAGGAAACGAAAGCTTCTTTTGAAATATTTTACCTGGATCCCGAACTGCGTCCGTGCGGCTCCACATGAAAAGGACGCAGAGGGAGGATTATTATTATTTTTTTTTTTTAAAGAACCAAAAACAACAATAAAAAAAAGAAAACACACGAGCGGTGATGTCTGCACACGGATGATGGCGTTTCAATGAAAGGGGAGAGGAGAGGAGGGGGCAGAGAAGGAGAGACGTGCACCGTCATCAGCATCTGTCCGCCAGCTCCCTTTGTGTTCACCGGAGAATGTGAATGGCGAAAGATGACATGGCAGAGGTAGATCTGGCATCGAGTGGAGCGGAACCCCCCGGCGAGGCCTCCTCGGCGTTTCCCTACGAGGAGTACGAGTGCAAAATCTGCTACAATTATTTCGACCTTGACCGCCGGGCTCCCAAGATCCTAGAGTGCCTGCACACGTTTTGCGAGGAGTGCCTGAACACGCTTCACCTTCGGGAGGAGCGGCCATGGCGCATCAGCTGCCCCGTCTGTCGCCACCGGACCCCGGTTCCGGATTATCGGATACAGAACCTCCCCAACAACACGAAGGTGACGGAGGATTTCCCGCTCTACATCGACTCGGACCCCCTGCCTCAGGACGCTTTGCCGCCGTACCCTCCCCCGCTGCACCCGGCTCTCGTCGCCCTCCGCCGGGAGGAGGCGTCGGGGGCGTCCAGCGCCAGTCAGGCGACCCCGTCCACCACCGTGTCCGCGGCCACAACCCTCTCCCAGGACTCGGTGCGCTACGACAGCTGTCAGAGCTGCAAGAGGGTGGCGCTGACCACCGGCTGCGTGTGCGTGATCTTCTCCTTCCTCTCCATGCTGGTGCTGCTGTTCATGGGCCTGATCTTTGTGCACAGCCACAGCATTCCTCCCTCGCCGGCGGGACCCATTTGCCTGTCGGTAGCCAGCATCTTGGCCATGTTCTCGGTCGTCGTCACATGGCTTATCTGCTGGCTCAAATACAGACCGGACCATGAGACAGGCCGCTCATCCGCCACCAGTAACTCCCGGAGAAACGCCTGATAGGCTGCCGCCTCTGACTTTCGATGGAGATGTTGCAGGCTGCTGTGGGTGTGTGGGTGGTGATGTACATAGTACTCCTGCTCCCTTTACTTTTCTAGGAATAAATCTTGCCCAAAATGGCCTTTTATGAGTATAGCAAACACCCGAAGGCCTTCATGTTGTTGGAGCAATAGGCCGACATGATCCTTGATATGTTGTTTTTTCTTCCCTTAAGTTATGCACTTGAATTTGCAGTCTGGGCATCTCCATGAGTGAACTCCAAGTCTTAGACCCTCTGCCTGGGCCTAAGTCTGTATTTGGTTTGTATATGGCTGAATGTTGAAGTGCTTATTTCCAAGGTTTGAAACCCTCACCACCTTACCCTGCTGAATAATATGCATATCCCACTATGCCAATCACTGTATGATAACTGTCCACGATCGTTCACTCATATCTCAACAAAGCACTATTGTAATGTACTGATATTTGCTGATATCTCATCTCAGTTATGAGATTAACTGAGTTTCCAGGGTTCTTATGAAGGGTTGCTTGTATATGTTTGCATGGAGAGCCTCTAAGATGCAGATGCAGGTACAGTAGAAGATGCATCCACAATCTAACCTTGTAAATAGTTGACAGGTGCAGAGGTGTGGGAGTGATCAGCCTTTCTTAAGGACACTTCATGAACCTTGTGCTTTAACCTCGCCCTGCAGGGTACCACTGCAGGAAAACTGCAAAGCTTGTGATTTTGAACCTGTGTTTTGCCTCATTTGTGCATGTTTGGCTACTGAAAGGTCAAGGCTTTTTTAATAGGTTTATTTTTTTTTTTTCTTTTTAATTGGAAGAGACGGTGCGTCTCCTGACTCGTGTGCCTCACCTTGTTGCTGAATGAAGCAAAACGTCACTGTTATAATAATGGAAATCTTGCACGGGCCTCCTGCTGCAGACAGCACCCAGCTGTGGGTGCTGGAAGGGATTTCCCCCTCCCATCACATCAATGAGAAACAGGGTTTCCAATGTTTAGCACACTTGCTCATGAAAAATGTGTGGTTTTGAAGAAGGAAGCAACCTGCCCTTGTTTGCTAAATGATCCAGGCTCCACTCCCAGCTGCTTCCAAACCCGCCCGTTTTCTTCCTTTAAAGCCATGTGTGAAAAGCCAGTGATACATCTTTAAAGCTATGAAGGAAAACTCCTAAAAGGATACATTTGGTGTCATTCTGGCTCCTGAGACATCCTGTGAGTCATAATTACCTCTGGATACATAAAGAGCCCCGTGAGCTGTGTGTGGCTGGGATTAGGAAGAGGCATTCAAGATAGAAAAACAGTACAATATGGTCTGAGAGGGTTTGTGCTATTCCGGTGCCTGGAGTAAACTAAAGCATAATATAATTTAGATGATGTAATTTATAGCTCTGAAAGGCATTGCGGGTCTGCATGTAATGCACTAGGATGAAAGAGGCTGAAGCTCACAGGCTTTATCATGAGTCAGTGGTAAAGTCTGTGAATGTTGCTGTTGCTATAACCTATACGGTTATTTATTAGGGGTGCAATGTGAGACCTTTACACTGCCAAATGTGCTCCATGACAAATGTGAATTTGAATACTGTGATATCTTCTAACTCCGTGACAGCATTTAATATAGAATTTGAATTCAATCTGGACACCAAAGTGTTTTTTTCTTTCTTTTTAAAAAAATGTGTAAGCACTAGTATCCCTACCTCACTGCAGGGGGAAAGAGCAAAGCAATTTAACCTGATTATTAAACAACCCCCCCCCTCCCCTTCTAAATCTGGTGTCACTTTCAATCATCCTGCTTGACCTTTTCCCAACTTGTATTTGATGCACTTTCACCCTCTTATTTGACACAAGTAAAGGGGTTTACCTTTGACAGATGTACGCATATTGTATTTACTTCAGAGGACCTAGAAAAACGTTTTTCTTTTTCTTTTTTCTGAGATTCTGTGGTTGTTGTTGAAGTACCAAATGTATTTGCACAGAGAAATGTTCTTTATGTCCTGTTTTACATACATAAACACATTTCAGTAATAAAGGAAACATGAGCATCTGCTCCATTTTTCATTTTCCTCACTAGGCTGAAGACAATGGTCTCTTCTTCTCGCTTACATAATGAGTGGTCATACACTGAATGCTGTATGATCCAACTTGACACATTTAGCTCCCTGCTGTGCGTCAAACATGCCCCCTGCTGGACAAAGGATGCTACACGCAATAAAGAAAAAAAAGAGTACAAATTTCATCCCTTAGTGTCAACATGGTTGCACTCCTCGTGTAGGTCTAGTTATGCAAACGTTCAGCGGCTAAACGCTGATTAAAAGTAAATACATTTTTGAAGTATGAGTTGGATGCTGATGTGCGCGTTAATATCACAGCCTGAGATTTGTCATGCGTGTTTACCCACTCATACAAGGCTTCCTTTTAGTTCACATAAATTAAGCCATTGAGCATCAAGATTTTTTCCCTTATAACATAAACCCAGCAGAACAGATTAAAAATAAAAACAACAGTGTTGACTGTTCACCGTCTAATTGCTGGTTAAATTCAGCTCGTGCATTCTTCCGATCACGTGTTAACCAGAAGTTCCACACCCCATAAATTGATGTTCTTACACAGCGGATTTCTTCGAGGAATACGCACCTCTTTTGCTATCATTAGATCAGCATGCAAACGAGCGGGGGTTCACAGGTTTAAGTGTGCACCGGCCCCCAAAGTGCAGTTACAGAGATTTCTGGTAAATAGTTTGAGGCACATTTACAAACGACATGTTCTTTTAGCAAAGCTAACCTTACGAAATTTAATGCTTGCATGTATGTCGCTTTACATAGTTTCTTTTTATTTATCTTTAGTTTCCACCCATTGCCTATACATATATAATGCAGCTTAGCATGCCCAGCTTACTAGTTTTATTAGCTTAAAATAAAGACCAGCTTACATGTTCTTTGTTTCCATTAGTCATTGTAGACTAAACATCATTTTGGCAGAGCACAGTGACATCCTATGTTTCTTCATTTAGTTCATTTAGTTCTCATTGAACAATACAATATAGAATAGGATGCTTTCAAACACTCATCGAAAATGAAAGTGTCTGGCAACAGCAAGGTAAATGCATATATATATATATATATATATATATATATATATATATATATATATATATATATATATATATATATATATATATATATATATATATATGGGTCTTATAAGACCCATGCAGTCGAGTAGAAGTAAAGATAAATACAGATACACAATTAAACAATTAAACCATAGCTACATCGTAAATGGTATTGTTCCATAAAGCATTGAAGCAACAACTTTTAAATAACAAAAAAGCAGCAAATTATACAATAAGGGTTTATTGTATAAAGCCTTATTGTATAATCATACACTTCCTTGTGTGTGTGTGTTGCTCTTAAAAGTGATGGATACAGAGATGGACGAAAAAATTTAAAAATAAAACTACAGTACACAGAAAAACTAAAACAAAACGTCAGCTGAATCAAAGACGGTAGGCAACTTTAGTGAAACATAAGTAAGAAATGTTAGTGTAAGAAGTAAAAGAGTGGTCTATAAAGTTATTAGGCAATATCTCAACAACGGAGAAAATGTTGCTTTATATGCCATTAAAATATACAGGCTATGGTAAAAATATATCCGCAAAAGAAACAATCACACAGTTTAACTTAAAAAGTGGTCCACAACTTTAGCCTACTAAAAATAGCCGTCCTAATAAACTTGAAGAAATAAAAGGACCCTACAGTCAACATGTAACAAGGCCAAATATAAATTATTACTATTTATGGTGTGTGTTAATGTATTGTCATGTTTTAATTTATTTTGAAAAACTTTCATACAGTTGTGTGTGGTTTGTGTAAAGCACCGAGCTTTGTGAAGTTGAACTTTCTTTCACCTGAAAAACTCAATCCTATCTCAAATCAAATAATTAGCCCGCTCCTCTAATACACTGATGGAAAAGTGTCCTGATTGATGTGACAAATATACGTGTTTGTGAATGCCGTCCACGCATGATGCAACTAATTTATTTCTCATCGGGAAAGATTTCTGACTTTGAATCTCATCCCCCGGTAATGGATTGGACACGGAGATTCGATGTCGCTTTAAAAGAAAAGGGTCGAGGTATGCATCATGCCTCACTTTCTGTTTTCCATTTGCCCCTCTGTGGCTTTTTAAAAAATTCGATAATATCCAATTTCAACGGGATCTATCCCAAATCGTCACATCCGTCATCGAAAAGAGTGATGGTTCAAACTTTAGAAGAAACGAAAACACAACGCAGTTTAACTCCCAGCTTCTTCTACACTTTATTGTACTACTCAGATGGGGTAAAACATTCATTTGCATAGTAACACTGTTCCCTACAACCTGAAAAATCCCTGACCTTACTACTCATGATTAATTTGGCTTTAATGGCTGAAATAACGCTCTGCCACAGCATAGAAATGAAATCACTCTTTACGCGTTTTCGGTGGAAAATAAACAGTTTTCTCCTCTCTTTGAAGCCGCCTTATGAAAACCTGCAGGATTCATTGGCTGATGATAATAAGCTTCAGCCCGCAGATAATGACACCCTCATTAGCAGGTGAAAGACCCCCGTTAGTCCTGCTTATTTTAAAGCCAGCTTCTATCTTTTGTCTTGGCGCGTTTTTGACAGTAAGGACAACATTTGAAGCGACCCCCCCCCCCCCTTTTTTTTTTTTTTTTTTAAAGGCGAGTGCTAATTGAAACCTACTAAGCCTGTGGGGTATCTCTTCCCTGCGTACATGAAGGTGAATGACAGTGACCCCCTCTGTCGAAGCCCCTATTGCTCAGTGGAAAGCCCATAGGTGAGTGGACTGAGACGTTAAAGGGATGATCAGGTGCTGCAGGGCTTTTCAGTTTTAGTTTTGCGCGAGTCACACGAAGATTTCAGGACTTTCGGTCCAGGCTTTAGACAGTGTACATCTCCACCTGGCGTATTCATCCATGTAGGCCCACCACTCATATTTGTCGCTTTGATTTGGTCCAAACTCAAGGATGTAATAATATTAATGAGAAATGCATCAGTGCCACTAAAAAGTCAGTGAATTGTAACCGCAATTTATGATATTTTCCAAAGTCAAATATTGATAAGTTCATCTGATGCACCAGTCCGAATATCCACTTCGATTGTCACTTAGGTGATGATGGCGTCGCCTTTCTTCATCTAGACAGTGAAGGAAAGCGAACCTTCGCTCACAATTGAGTCTCTGCCTTCAGTGACTGATCACAGGCTAAAGGATGCTATGGCCCACGACACCCTGAAAAAGGAGAATGGATGCTGAATATTTACAGAGTCAACTCGTCTCCCCCCATCGTCTTTACTGAGTGGTGACAATATTGGACAATAACCTTTGTGGTGGTGTGTGTGTGGGGGGGTATACGGCTCTAAAGTGCCTCAGAGCTAGACTAGCTTTATGGCCGCCCTGGCGTCGTATCCTGCTGTGGCGCACGTCCCCCTTCAGACTGTTCTCTGCTGGTCGGTGCTGCAGTCTGAAAACCACAGTAAATTCCTAGAGGTGCACACTTTTTTAGCACCATTTGAGTCATATGTGAGGGCATGGGGTGGGAACAAATTGGAGGTCATGAGCCATAACGTGCGTAAAACACACTGGAGACGATATTACGCACAGTTGTCTTGTAGCTTTGCTTTAATAACTGGTGCTCAAAGCTCTGAAAACGCTGAAATCATATGTTTTGCGTCAGACTGAAGCTTTTTCTGAAGCAAAATTCACCATAAAATGTAGTCGAAAACAGAGATGACAGAAAAATGTGTGTCTGGACAGACCCAGTATACAGACCCTGTTATTTATCATTAAAACTGAGTCGAGAAAATAAAAAAAATAAAACAATTATTATGTTTTTGGTGCCAAACCAGTTAAATCAGAAGAATCTTTCTACAATGCAACACATCAGGCTGTCAGGAATTTGTGGAGTAATCGTTAGGACGCAAATGTTTCACAAGAAAAGCTTACACATATCTGAGATTCAGCGGGCTAAGCTGCAGTGGGGGGCCTTATGATTTTAGTGCAGTCCTAAATATTAAAGTTTGTAGTCTGCACATCAAGTCTTTATTATTAATTTTTGGCATTAAAATAGTGTTTGGATATTTTTTACTTGACAAGGCAAAAAAAAATAAAATAGACGCGCTTTTTTCAGGACCGAGTGTGTAGTTCTGTGAAAAATAGTTCTGTGACCTGCTAATTTTAACAAAATAATTATTCCTCGTCAATCATCTTTTGTTGCCTCACTTTTCACTCAGCAGTTCACTCAACACAAGAGTGAATCTGGAGATGTTTCTGTCGTAGCTTTGGATTTGGTGAATTGAAGCCCTGTCCTGTCCAGTCCGAGTGGAATTGTGACAGTCTGTGATAGGACGAAAGTTTTCAGTCTCAGCCAATCCGCGCGCCTCGCTGCCTACTGAGTGCAGACGCTCTACCAATCAAAGCCGGGAGCGCTGACCAGGGGAGACAGAAGAGCTCCGCTACTTTTGACGGGCTGCTCTCACTTTGAACCGGTGTCAACAAACAACAACAAGATATTTCTCCCGGGTTACACCGCCTTAGCACCCGCGTTTCTCAGAAAACCTCAATACCGGCGATTAAAACCAACAGAATGAGAAACATACTCTTTTAACGACCCCCAAATCACGCTCTGCCTTTTTTCCTCGTCAAATTTGCCTCATCAGAGGCTCGTGGTTGTCCCGGGACGGTGCTTGGCTTTAGCACGAGCACGGCTAACTTTTCTCCGAAGCTACACAGGATAAATTTCGGGGAAAATTCTCACAGTCGACGGGGAAACCTTTGTAACAACGTCCACCTGCCGCTTGGTCGGTGCTAGAGCAGCTGGAGGAGGAGGTTCCTGCAGTCGTTGGGGTGTCGGTGGTATGACTGCGTTGGCGGGGTCAATACCCAGGATGATGCGACCCTCGCTGACCCAGAACTATCCCCGCAGCGGCTTCCCTCTGGAAGGTAAAAGGACGCATTAGTGGCTGAAGATTTTCTGCGTTTGAGAGCTAGTTAGCAAAAAGGCACTACTGTTTTTATACAGTCATGTCCCAAAGCTCAGCTCCAAGACAGGAATTAGAGGTTATATACCTATAAAATAGCCCCACATCTCAATTGACAGATATTTAACATTTGTATTAGGTTTTATTAATTATTTTTAACAATGTTTTCACATTTTTGTACTTTTTTGTTCAAATTTATCCTTTAAAAAACTTTAGGCCATTTTAATTTTCATAAATATTTGCCCCACTCCGATAACATAGTCAGCTCTATTCTTTGTCAAGTGTCGCCTCTCTTTTTTTTTGCTGTTTATAGCCTATATAATTAATGCTATATTATATATTATTTATATATTATTTTTGCGTCTTTGCTAAACTTGCCCTCTCCGTGGTGACCAGTTCTCGTAATATTTTGATTCAATCCAGTGTCTACACCGCTGGGTCAAGGCCGAGTCAACCAGCTCGGAGGAGTTTTCATAAATGGCAGACCTTTGCCCAACCACATCCGCCATAAGATCGTAGAGATGGCCCACCATGGAATCAGGCCGTGTGTCATCTCCCGACAGCTCCGTGTCTCCCACGGCTGCGTGTCCAAAATCCTGTGCCGGTACCAGGAGACCGGCTCCATCAGACCCGGGGCCATCGGAGGCAGCAAACCCAAGGTAGGGACCGGAGTCTCTTTGATCCAAATTCGTGTAAGGGTGTTTGACGTAGATTCATTTTAGTAACCTGTTGATTTTTAGTGATAATAGAGTCATGTGCCTTGTGCCCCAAGGGCCACAACAAGTGAATAAACACAGCGACTTTTCTGACCTTTGAAGCAGGGGACATCGCCGGACGTAGAGAGGAGAATAGAAGAATACAAGCGGGAAAACCCGGGTATGTTTAGCTGGGAGATTCGGGATAAATTACTGAAGGATGGGATTTGTGACCGCAACAACGTTCCGTCAGGTAAAAAATAAAAATAAAAAGTCAGAAAAGAACAGAGTGTGCCTACTAGCTACACTTTTTCAAAAATTTTACTTTATTATTATCAGTTGTTTTTCTTTGTATTTCCCCCCCAATATTTAATTACTAAATCTACATCCTGATAAAAATATTTTGAATTTGGAAAATAAAACAATAAATAAACGGCAACTTTTCAACTTTTTAAGATTTCTGACAAACCAATTTATTCCAGATTGTTGTTTTTGATACTTTAACTATTAGTTATTCATTTATTCCACTTCTTAAAACAATTCATATCATACATTAATTTTACTTCCAGACTTAAAAATATTTACTGTAATTATTTAATTATTTTTACTAACTGCTTTCCTTTATCTTAACGTACTTTCACAGTGAGCGCCATCAGTCGCATAATGCGGAGTAAGTTTGGGGGGAAAGGCGACGAAGAAGAGGATGAAGATGAAATTGAGAAGAAGGAGTTGGAGGACAACGAGCGGAGGGCCAAACACAGCATTGAAGGCATCTTAGGAGACAGATGTGAGTGAACTCTCCCAGCTGTTATTGTTTTTGTTCTTGCGAAAGAAAATAAGTGAAACGACTTATCTTTTTTCATATCAGTGAGCTTGATTAGAAACATTAGAACTCAGCAGAATCCCGTTTGATCAGATACGGTCTCAGTTTGCTGCAGTCATTTCAAGATGGGAAGTTGCCTATCAGTGTAGTGAAAGTGGAAACACCCGCCTATATTCTGTGTTGTTGTAATTAAAGGGGGCATACGCTATCATGATCTCCACAACAGCCTCCACACCTCCAACCTGTTGAGCTGTGTGTAAAATAACATTGCTTCATTTGGTGGTGAACTGGCCTTGTCTGTGAAGCTGCTGCTTGCTGTAAAGTTGCTGTGTGTGGGTGGAGAAAGTGTGTGCGTGGAGCTTTGTTAGGAATTCTTTATCGACCATATCTCTTCGCTAATGCTTTTCCCATGAGGCCGTACCGTAAATCAAACAGCAGGTGATGGCTCTGTGCGGGAAAAAAGTAAGAATGTGTGTGTGTGTGTGTGTGTGTGTGTGTGGTTTAAAAGCAATGTGGGGCTCAATAGCCGCGTTACAGTAACTGTATATTATTATGCACATATTTCAAAAACTCCTGTGTACTTATGGAGCGTCATAAATCCACGCAGCACTTGTAAGAGCAGTGTCTTCATGCAATATAGAAACATAATTGGCGTTATGCAGTAATTTGATCTTTTTTTTATAATGTAACCAATCGATCTTTATTGGTGCTGCAAAATGCTGTCGACTATAAACATTAAATAAATAAAGAAGAAAAGTAAGCACCTGTTGGAAAAGTCTCACAATCTGCGGAGAAATTCGAGTGTTATGAAAATAATTAATAAATAGATTTTTTTTTCTTTTTGTATTTTTTTTTTAAATTGGAAGTTAATTACTTTTATTACTTTTTTAAAAGTAGTTGTTAAGTGAATGAAACATGGCATATTCCCCTGCCTGCAGTCGCACTCAGACAGAAGCCTAATTGGAGATTAGTGACGTTTGAGGTTTGGGGTATCATTACTTCATAGCTGCATAAGGTCCAGTTAACTACCTCATTTGCAATGTCATCACTTTACCTTTAAGCTGCGTCATTAGAGTGGAAATTCGTTTTATTTGGTACCTTCCCAACTATTACTGCGCATATGCAGCTTCACTCCTAAAAAGGCCTGTAATGTGGTAATGTGCGTGTCAGCCTTTACTCGGTGAAATCACTTTAAACATTTTCTTCCTGGAAAAATTCATTATAATTTTAACTATCGCTCAGAGGGTCGGTTAAATTGAAACGAGGCATATAATTCAGGAGAGAAACACTACGAATGATGGATGTCCGCTCCATTTATCCCCATCTTTCTATGGAACTGGCGGCATTATAACGAAACCTTTATTTACCGGCTGCTTTCATAATCAAGCTATTACTATCTATCAGCCGTTTGGCATCAAATGCTAGAATGCGTTGCTTATTACAAAAGTACGACAGTTTCCATTGCCTTTCCTACCACTTATTAAATCAGTTTAAGCCGCCAAATGTCAACATTTAACCCACTGTTTTCCTCTAAGCATTCGCTCGCTGTCTGCGTCGGGGGAGGACAGATAAAGGTCTCTGGTTTGAGGAGACAAAATGTCCCCCAGATGAGTTGATCAAACATTTGTTCAACGGTTTCCATCTCCTCACAAAGGCACGCCTCGCGCGCACAACGGGACGCTCAGGGATGAACTTGGGAGACAAAGGCGTGAGAGTCTATTTGGGGCTCACGCTTGGGCTGCACGAGGACAAAAGGCCAGCTTGGAAACAGCTTTGGCCGGCGCAAAAGAAGAAGAAGGCAACCTGCTTATAATTCAGCCCGAGAAAGAAAAAAAATGTGGGGGGAGAGAGGAGAGCTTCTGCACAGAAAAGCCCAACGACGCACATTATGAGGCCGCAATGAAGGATGAATTATTCAGGGAGCGCTCCGGCGCGGTTTAGAGGGCCCGTTCACCGAGAGAAAATGGCCGTTTTCACCTACAAAATGTTTCCTTTTGGGGTCGGCTAAAAGGAGCCGGCTGCCATTCAGAATGACAATTAAGGCCTCTGAAATCCGCTCACGTAGCCTATCGCCCGAAGTTGCGCGCTCGCTCCCAGAACCCGCGCGCGCACACGCTGCCGCTCGCGTGTGCGCTGAAAGTGTACATTAAACATTTACAGTCGGTTAGCCACTTTGAAAGTAAGCTAACAAGTGGCACGCAGCAAGATGGAGCTGGTAAACCTGTAAACCAAAATAAAAGCGCATTAAAAATGAAGACGTAAAGATGCTTAGTTACAATTTTTGTGTTTAAATTATTTCTTTAAACTTTTGTTTTTTTTTGGTCTGACTACAGTAAACTTTGAAGAAGTTTCTTGCTGTGTGCAACCCCACGCGCTTAAAGCAACATTGTCCCATTAAGCAGTATTTGATGAAGCGTAATCACCGCGTTTGTCATAATGTTCAGAATGTAATTGGTCAACAGTACAAAGTGGCCTTCTCCTCCTCGACGCATGAATTCCGTGTCCAGCCTGTAATACGCCATCCATTATCGATTCTTTGAGGAGTGCCGGCCTTGCCCCCTCGAACATCAATAATGTCTTCTAAATGATGTCGATATTGTGCTATGTCACATTTAATGATGGAGGGAGTGTATTAAAGAGTGTTTGCGGTGAATGGGGACCAATGTTCTCCCCGGAGAACCCCGATCTGGCCCGGAGCGCAGCTTCACAATGGTGCACCCCCCGGCCACCCGTCCTGCGCTGCGCACAGCTCCGAAAACCCTCCGCACCCCACTCCCCACCGCCCCCACCTCCTCTTCTACCCCCACTTGCTCCCCAAATCTCTTCAAGCAGATTAAATCGACCCTTTTATTTCATCTCACTTTCATCTGGAGAGCAACACCGCCCCTCTCCCTCTGTTTCCTACTCCTCTCTGTCTCTGTCCCTCAGCCCGCGGCGCTGAGCTCGTTTCATATCTGAGCCGCATCCTCCGGAGCGCACAAAGGAAAGTCAGTCCACTCTCTAAAGTTTTCTAATCAAGCTCTGTATTAACCGTTTGTGGGGTGATTGTGTATGGATTTATTGCAATTTCAAGCCTGATTTTAAAAGTTCCCATTTGTAAATGTCGCGGCTGCCCAGCTGTTTAAACTGGAGCAGCACATAGTGTCTTCGATCTCAGTGAACTGACATAAAGCGGTGGCAATAACACCATCACTGCCAACCGCGTTTTGTCCTTTAAAAAAAACCCCATGTTTCAACAAAAAGTCACATTTGTTGAAAAAGGTAGCTTTATTGCGTTAATCCCCTATTGGTAGTCATAGTCACAATGAAGGATTTAGACCTAATTTTAAAAGGTGAAATATATAAGCAGCCTGGTTCTAAACTAATTATATAAGGGCTTAAACACTAAGGTAAACATTTTCTTCCAAATTCCCATGCAACAAGGAAATTGAAACTAAAAGAAAGGTTCCCCTAAATCATAATGCCTCTTTCAGAATAAATACATCCTTGATAGTAAAGTTGGCCATGCAGACCTGTCACTGGGCTGCACCAACCTCTCAGCCTCATAGTAATTAACCCTGGAGACAAAGTTAATGATTAAAACAGTCACAGTGCCCCCACCTCCTCCCTTCCCTGCTGCACATTTTCACAGTATATCTTTTGGAGTCCATACTTAGTTAGGTGAAATTAGCCAGATAATACAGTGGAGCCTTGTTGAGGGCCAATACATTTCCATTTAGGCTGGCCGTGTGTGCGCGTACACAACATGCATGCATATACACACACATTCTACTCTGCAATGCAAACAGTCAAAGGGATAACTTTATTTGGTGAAAGGGGATCCTGGAAAGGGCTAATTGAATAAGCCCGGGATCTTTGAAAAACCCCTACCATGGTGAGCGCAGTCATCATGTCATAATTAGGTTTATTGAGGCGCATTCCTTCAATCTGCCTCCATTCTGCCGGCCTCATTGTATCCGTGGCCTGGGCCAATGGCCGAGGGACAAAAGAGAACCGTGAGCAGACAATACATGAAAGAGCCATAAAGATTTAGCTGGCTTTGTCACAGAAACGGAGCAGGACTTTGTTTGTGTAAATAATGCGGGTGAAGGAGGGACTTGGGGTTTCTCTGCCACTTGGGGTGAAGATGGCGTGCTGCAAATGTGATACATGGGCAGACCCTGGACCAATGCCATGACTGGAGAAAACAACAGATCGAGGGGGAAGGAGTGAAGGAAAAAAGTGAAGGAGCTGAAGGGGAGGCAGAGGATGGGTCGAGAGGACATAAGCCTAAGGCTTTAGCTCAGGCAGACTTTTAACTTGAACTTTTGTATATAAACTATAGTTATTATCTAAAGATTAGTTAAACTATCTATTTCAGTTCATGCCTATGCACTTCAGAACACTTAAGGCAGTGGGTGTGTGCTACCTTACGTAATAGAATAATTTCATTCTTATTTCTGGCTGTTACAAAAAGGGTCAAATAAAATCTCAAAGTTGAAAACTTATTGTACTTTTCACTAAGCTGCTAAGCTGAAACAACAAGCCAGTCAGTCTGTAAACATACCTCAGATTCTCTCTTTTTAGCTTCACTGATGTGAGCGTCTGATGCTTTCCTCTATTTTGTTTAACTGTATATTAAACATATTTGGGTGTCTGGGTATAGATACAAATAAGACAGATGTGACCTTGGATTTTTCTAAAATTTGTAACGCACATGTTCTGATATTTCACAGACCAAAGTCATTAATCATAACTGCGAAATAATCAGTAAATGAAATTGTAATTAAAGTAACTGCCCTAATAACTTACCAGTTGCTGTTTTGTCAACAGATCTGACAAACACAGACCAATAAGATCTCGATAGATCCTGTAGCTATTAGCTGTTAGTGGCCTGAGCCAAGTGTCTGGTGAAGAGGGCTCTGTCTGTCCACTGAAAGAATGAATGTGTCACTCAGTGAGTCCCTGGGCACGAGGGCAAAGGG